CAATCACGGACTCGCTTTCATGCTTGCTTGCTTGTTACTTGCTGGCTGGTTGCTTACTTACTTGCATGTTTGTTGCTACGTATGTGCACTCGCGCGCATCTCCTCTACCATTACGTTACACTGCAACGTTGCTTAAGGTTATGGAACTAGGATAAATAATTTAGGATTCAATTCTCTGTTCCTTACTTCCCATATATATAGGCACAGCTTGTATTGCGAATCACCACGTAACGAGTAAATTTCGAAAATTTGATAAAGGAAACGTCCAATAATATACATCCAGCATTCGCTAACTGTTTAACCAATAGTAATTAGTCTTCATTTTCTTTTTTCGCACAAGTTTCTTCAATCTAATAATTATTATCTCCTTCGTGTATTTTCTCTTTTTTCTTCATACAATCCGTAAGAAAAAACGCGAGTATGCGATAAAAAATAAAAGATCGAAGAACATTATATTATATTATATCTTGCATCCTGTAAACAAAAAAAAAATCTGACATGCAACAAACAAATACTTACATATTATACGAGTTCACTACAAGATGTTTTTGCAGAAATCAGAATTCATGTTATTTTCTTAATTCGAGTACGATCAGGATCGACAAGAGTTCTATGAAAAATATTACTACTACTACTACTACTACTACTACTACTATTACTAGACCTTAAGATAGTTTCTTCTACAATTTGCGTAAAACCGGACAACGACGACGACGTCGACGAACGACGTGGATATTTCTTGCATCAATTATCGAACTTGTACCATTCCCTTCCTTCTTTTTCTACGATAGAAGAAATTTTCTACAACGCACGGATTTCATTTTATTCAACGAGGAACTAATGATGGCACATTAAAGGAAGGCAAATGGATAGACCGATCTTTGCTCGAAGGGACTTAATGACGACGATGTAAACAACTCGGGCAATTGTCACGATAGAAAATGTAATCTAATGGAAAGGGTTTACTCTCTTTCTCTCTCTCTCTCTCTCTCTCTCTCTGTCTCTCTCTGTCTCTCTCTTTTTCTCTTGATGATTACACGAGGTTCGTTTCAACTAACACGGCGTGCATAAAAACGCAAGGACGTTGTTCGAACGTTCGGACAAAAAAATTCATTCGCGTTCGTATTTCGAGTCGTGAATTTTTTTCCTTCGAGTATGAAAATCTTTCATAATTCTCATCAAAGTAATATTCCATCTAGGATAACGTAAATCATTATTATATAACACGTTTTGAAATGTTGCAAAAATAAAGTAGGTAACTAGAAACGTCGAGCAACGCGTCGCAGGAAGTTTAATTTAAAACCGTTTCTCTCTCTATTTCTCTCTCTTTCTCTCACTCTCTCACTCTCTCTCTCTCTCTATCCTTTATTACATCTTTTCGCTTCGGGTGGTTTAGAGAAAGAGCTATAATATTTTTCTATGTGCGTTTAAATCGTCCTCGAAAATGGGGAGACTTACCAAAAGAAAGTAAGTACACTTTAAATAAGTCCAAACTTAGGCCGATACTTTTAACGGGTAACACAAACTAGAAATGTCTACTTTTCCAATTTCTTTTTAGACTTTCTCTCTCTTTCTCTCTCTATCTCTCTCTCTCTTTTATAATATCTATACGAAGAACGAAATCTATATATTACCAGTAGCGCAATGAAAGCGAGAGCTATGAGATTCCTTTGGTTTATGAACAGTAACGAGATGAGCTTGGTATGCACCATCATGAGGCTGTATACTGTATATAGTGAGAGAAACGATTTACTCTTACCAGAGAAATTTCCAGAGAGGGAGAGAGAGAGACTGCTGCTTGTATATCTATCTCTCTTTGCGAGACTATTCCTCTTCTCCTTTCTCCTTCCTCCTCCTACTTTTTCTCATCTTCCTCTTGCCCTCTGCTCTTCCCTATTTCCCTCTTATTCCTCTCTTTCCCTTCTCAGGGGTTTTTTTCTGGTCGCGATATTATACCGTGCAACCCCCATTCCTTGGTACATCGTGAAAGAACACGAGGTGCAAATAACCGCGTCGCTTATTTTTACGATCGCACGTTGGAACGGGGAGAGGAGAAAAGACCATTGGCCCTTTCCTGTTACGGTAAGCCAAGAAAAATGAGCTTCACCCGGCGTCAACGTCGTTTCCATACCGTACTTTGGTCGTTCGGCTTTTATTAAAGTATCCAGTCACCGGGAACTACGAAATCATGTGCTTGGTGTGTATACGAGAAAGAAAGAGAAAGAAATAAAGAAAAAAAAAGTGAGAGTGAGAGAGAAATGATGGAAAAGGGAAAGAAAGGTGGAAGAAGAAGAAGAAGAAGAAGAAGAAGAAGAAGAAGAAGGGAAAAAAAAACTTATTAATCCTAAACGAAGTTCGTTCCTAGAGATATATCCTAGGGAATTCCGTGCACGAAAAGCGCAAAGAATCGCCTAACTTAATTTTACGATCCTACGACACGAAAGCTCGCACCTGGACTTTCTTCGTTACGAATTTATACTTCGTTATTCGACAGAGTTTATCTCGACGCGTTATGAATACCGAAAGTTACGAGAGAGCACCTAGCAGGGGGGAAGGGGAAGGAAGAGGGGGGGCCACGCTACTCGTTTATAGTTTTATTATAAGCGGGGTCTAGTAAATTGCGATAAATGATAATTTGCTTCTTACCTTTCATCGTTACCTTTTAAAACGGGGGAGGGGCGAGTGATGAGGGGCAAGGGGAGAGGGGGGGGGGAAGTAAAAGAAAAAAATATATACATGTCTATATACATGTACCTACTTGGGAAATAGAATTGCGAATGTAGGCACACAACGTACTCGACGATACGATACTTTCTTTTTTGCAAACTAGAAAAGAGAGAGAGAGATAGAGAGATAGAGAGAGAAGGATAAGGGGAGAGCAAAAGCACTCGAGACTCATACGTGCACCGGTATGAAAGAGATTTCTGAAGGTAGAAGAAAGTCTGAGGAGCCTGCGAAATGACATTTCTTTTCGACGGTTCACGCCGACGTGCTGCAATTTCGTCTCACCGGAATTACTTTTGGGGTTAAGTGCGTTGAAAGAAAAAGAAAAAAAGAGAGACAGAGAGAGACGGAAAGAAAGGGGGAGAGAGAGAGAGAGGGGGGAGGCGAGGGGAAGAGAAAACACGGTAGAAAAATGATGAGAAAAAAATGAGACGTGTTCTCTAACGCCAAATGAAACGGCACTCACTCGGGTGAGTTAGTGTTCAAAGGATAATAAATTTCGTATGACTGATAAAAAAATAATGAGAAATTTTTCACCGGAACGGACTTATAACGTGGGAAAATCGTATTAATTTGTAATTAACCTGCATCGGTAACTTGTACTATTTCGTCGACGACGAGTTTCCTATGCATTTGTATATACGTAACGTAAATATATATATATATATGTATATATGTCGTACGTCACCGTCTTACATGCATTATCTTAAGAGTCACGATCTTTATCGAGTATAGATGCTCTTAAGCTGTCTCCGAATCGTTCATCCGGTATAGGTATAGCATTCGACGAGTTCTTTATAACTCTGATACCTGTCCTCGAACTACTTGACGACGAGTTTCCACCGGACTCCATCCGTTACGTTGTCGTACAATTTATCGGAAGAAAGAAAATAACGAAAAGAGACATAAAAGTGAATGTTGAACGAACCGGTCCCGTGTCGATTTCATAGCTAAAACCACTTTACGTTTTGTTTTATTTTATTTTCTTGATTTCTTTACAAACGTTTCTACGTTCAAATACGTCATCGTCATCGTCGTGTTTGCTCTCTTACTCGTTATCTATATAAACGTGTTGTTGCTCTATAACTTGCAATCGGTTATAGAAGAATTCTGGATCGTACACGCGTAAGTACGTATCGTGCTTGTTTCTGATCCGTTCGCAATGTCGATGCAAAAAAAAAAAGTTTCCTCCTCGTCGTTGTTGTCGTTGTCGATGTCGTTGTCGTTGTCATCGCATAAAACCAGAAAAAGATAACGATGTGTATGTATGTATGTATGTATGTATGTATGTATAAAGAAGAAAGTATATATCCGATTCCAATGGAATTAACTCGCGGATAGATCAATCGTTTCAACAACAAAATCTTCATTTTCTTACGAACCTTAAATAAGTGTGCTACCGTATAAAGCTCTAAAGAACATACCGCGTATATTTGCGAACGAAGAAAATCTACGTTCCTTAGAGAGAAAAAGAGAGAAAGAACTAACATGGAAACAAAATTACTTCCTCGTCTTCTATTTCAAACTTCGTGTCTATGTTTGTCTCTCTCATTCTCCCTCTTTCTCTCTCTCTCTCTCTCTCTCTCTCTCTCTCTTTATCTATCTATCTATCTTTCTTCTCTTCTAAGTGTCTGTCGACGGATCGATAGAATATATAATGCTTAACGAAGATTCTCCTGAATTTTAACCAGTAACGTTTAAACGGTAGATCGAAGTTAATGTGATTTAGAGAACGACTAGGGTACGATTAGAGAGTAATACTCGAGGAGAGTAGTGTGATTAAGGGTACGACGACGTCGTGCTCGGATTCTCTGCTAGGATTTCATGCCACGGAAATTCGCATTGGTAGTAGCTGTGCAGATTGCACAGCCGGCATCTCGAAGACAATGGAAACGGGCGCTTGCTTACATTGCTTGTTTGTGTTTGTTATATATATATATATATATATATAGAGAGAGAGATATATAGATATGTATACATATATACAATATACGTATACTATTACGTTACTAAGATTGTGCACCGATAGTCTTTCCGAGTTTATCCTTCTAACGGTATCATGAATATTTACATTACTTTTCTTCACAAAGAAATCAATGTGTATATTTCTCTCTTTCTCTTTCTCTTTCTCTTTCTTTCTATTCCTCGTTACGTATACGAGCATGAAATGTTTCATCCCTATATGCGATATTCGTGACTCCATCTTATCACGTATGTGTATATATATAGATACGTAGTAGAGTTACTTTTTCTCTTTTAACGTTTCATTTACAAAGAACGAAGACGAGAGGAGAGACGAATGAACTCCCGTAGCTGTTCAACTCTTCAACTCTTGAAAGGAACGAAGAAACGAAAGGAGAACGTAGGATTCTATTCCAAAGAACGGTACGTTCGTTGAAACCTACACACAAGTTTTACGAGTATCAGGGATCTTCTATGATCAGGACTCTAATCCAACCAAGCTCGATCGATCGAAAAGCGATCAAACTCGTGAAGGGACGTCTGCGAACGTAATTGTGAAGAACGAGAAGGAAATACGAAAAAAGAAAACGATATAACGGTAGACGTTCGAACGTATCGTATCTACTAGCTATACATGAAAAACGAAAAGATCGTAATGGTGCGAGCAGGAGGAGGAGTAGTAGTAATAGTAGTAGTAGGAACGACACGACAGCAAGGTATCAAAGTGAAGTGCCCCGTGTGAATTCTGTCGTTGTGTGCCCGTAAATTCTTTTCACCTTCATCCATCGAAAAAGAAACGTAGTAGGAAAGAGAACTCTTCTTTTTCTATCTCTCACTCTTTCTCACTCTCCCTCTCTCTCTCTCTCTTTAAACGCGTACGTTTCGATCCTACGTGATGGTGGTACGGTACGTATGTACATGCACGCGCGTGTAAAAGGGTATCTACTTAGGTTACGACGAGAGAAAACTCAGCACGGTAATACAGAAACGAAAAAAGAACGGGGAATGAACTCTTAAATATTTCATGACGGGCGAAAGATGCGAGTTACATCATAGACCGAAGGAAGATAGTCGCTGGTGATGGTTGTACTACTCTCTCACGAAGGAGAAAAGCCGATGTGCCAGTGAACGGGGGCGGTTGTGTTGGCTCGGCAGGGTGGTAAGTGCTCGCTTGGATATGTTGGTCGTGGGTGATACGAGCGTGGTGCGGCATATTATGCCGTTAATACAGTGCATATCGGGACGTGAGCAGCTGGCAAGGGAATCACAACCAGTCCTTCCTTCCTTCTTCCCTCCCTCCCACTCTATCCCTCCCTCTAGTTTGCTCGTTTGCTAGCTCACTCACCCTCTTCTCTTCATATCACTCCCCTACCCTCCCCTTACCCTTCCCAACCCCTTTCTCTATTCCGCCAAAGCCGCTGGTATTCAAGCGCACACCCTACTCTCTATTTCTAGCTTCCTCGTCCATCCTCTTCTCCTTCCACTCTTCCTCAAACTCATCCCTCCCCTCCCCACTCCTTTCTCTACAGTATTCATCTCATTCCCCCTTTTCGACGAGTCACGTACATACTTACACAAACCCTACTAGCTCCCTCGTCCTTATTAATATATGCTACTATATATATATATACATATATACTTCTACCGGTACAAGTACCACTATTTTAGGATTACCAGGACCAAAAGTTACTCGGGCGAGAACAGAGAGAGAGAGAGAGAGAGACCCCCTTCTATCTAGCGCTCCTTCGTTTGCTTTCCTATCCACTGACCGCACTTATGTCCCAACGGATCTCAAACTTTCCGAATACCATCGAACTACGCAGCTTGTTCCTACTACGCTTAAGCTATGTATATGAAAAGATACATTAACTAGGGTAATAAAGAAGAACAAGAGAGAGAAAGAGAGAGATAAAAAAAAAAAAGAAGAAGAAAAATATGTTTAGAAATCGAGTAATGTTGAATCGAGCATTAAAACGATTATGGGCTCTTAATTCTCGAATAAAACTAATTATCGTTAAGATAAGCGTCAAGATGATACTACCGTTAGATAACTCGTTAGATTCGCATAATAACGCGTGAGCGCGTTCGTGGAAATATATCGCAAATAATTATTCACCGACAGTTCAGCAGAAGCAGCAACAGCCATTCGTCGTGCGGTACTCCTCGAATCGGTCCAAGTCACTTCTTAATGAGGAACGAGGAATCTCGGTACTCTCGGTAAAGACTTCGATGGGATATCTACGGGGTTAGAGAAACTTTGAAATAAGCTACGCGATATTATGTTTCTTCGACATACAACAAGAACAACAACAAGAACAGCACAACAAACCGTCAACGGGAAACCAACTTTTCCCATTATCCATTAATCTAATTAGCGAACAAGATTTCGTGGCATCGGGTATTAAGATTCTATGGTTCCACGAAGTTAAATGCGCTCATCGTAGTGTTATCCGCTTAATTCGAATTCACTTAAACGCGAATTTATATATTGGATATGGTAAAAAATATGATTACAATTGACCCGCCTAATTCGTACGATATATCATTCGATAAAAGTGAAATTCTAATTATTTCAACGTTCAATCGTTTTTGTTTTTTTTGAATGACTTTTTACAACTATTCGAGTTATTTTATACCATTTTCATTTGGCGGATACTTCAAAACAAAACACAAACAAACGATTTCAAAGTAGAAAAAAAACGAGAGAGAGAGAGAGAGAGAGAGAGAGAAATTGATTTTGTACAATTCTAGATGATATTTTTAAAAATATTTATCTCAAAAAGAATTCATTCGTATAAAAATATTATTCAATTCAATTTCCATTTCGTCATTTTTTTGTAAAAACGGTACTACAACACGATTGATATCAATGGTAAATAAAATACCAAATAAAAATGTTTCTGTGTCGATTCGATTGAGATATCTTCTCGAATAATGCATCAATAGTCTGTATTCCTAATCTTTTTATCGGTTATGCGAAATTATTGGAAATTTTGAAATTGAGCTTTTTTCGACGTAAAAATGTTATTAAAAGCAGCGACCGTATGAGCGACAAGAGTAAAGAAGAGGCAGGATGAATGAAAAAGAAAAAAAAAATACATTCGTGCAGTTCACGCGTGGTAGAAATGAAACCTTTAGAAAATTAAACTTTTAAAGAATGAGACGAATGTTTACATTTTATACTACATTACATATTATACAGACTCAACCGAATCTACAATCACGAAAATAAATAGTCGATGATGATCGTGATTTACGCGAACTGAGGGAAATTTCTGCATAAACGGCCATTATATATCGTTATCATCGTAGATCGATATTCGCAACGCAAAATACTAGTCGAATCGGTTAATTAATTGGATTTATAGGAAAACAAGAAGTTTCCTAGGACTTCACGCAACAAGATGAAAATAGAATCTTGGTGGTAAACAGCAAACCAAGAGAATGGAACGAACGAACGAACGAACCTCTTCGCGCATGGAAATATACGTATACCTTAGGCGACTTTGCCATAACGCGAACGAAGATAAATTTTCTCCTCGGTGTTGATGCAGATACGAATTCATTTTCGGTCTCGAATATCTCTCATCTTCTAATAAATTTAAATATATAAAGGCGTCCATCTCTCCGGTTGGGTGCGACAACACGGCGCGGGCCCGGGTGAGTTAAGAAGAAGAAGAAGAAGAAGAAGTATATACCACGTATACGCAAAATGTGAAATATTCTCGCGGGTACACGCAGGAACGATGAGAAAGAGAGAGATAGAAACAAAAAGAAAGAGAGAGAGAAAGAGACAGAGACAGAGACAGAGAGAAGAGAAGGATTTGCTTGGCACAGCTTGAATGAATATGAATGCCCACCTAGACTGCGGCCCCTCGTTCCCTTACCATTACCAAACTTATATTTCACCGTGGAAATGATATTGCGATCTGAAATGCAAGCTAGACGACAGGAGGGTACTTCTATGATGACGGTTTCGTTGACTTCTTAATTAACAACTTCCGAAAAGCGATGAAAACCCGGAATGTCTAAAGGACTCGAAGACCGAGAATGAGAGGGGAGGGGGAGGTAGGGCGAAGGTGTAGGGTCGGATAAAGAGAAGGAGTAGAAGAAGAAGGTGGAGAAAGAGAAAGGGAACGGGTTGGGAGTGGAGGAGGAAGAAGGGGGGAGGGGGAAACGTTTCTCGAATCTCTCTCACGGTGGATAACGCTAATTAAATCCCTAGCTACGACCTTTGCTCGAAAAGCAGCAGTAGCAGCAGTAGCAGCGTTACTCGCTTGCAAAACGGACGAGACGAAAGCAGTACGAAGGGGTACAAACGCGTTTAAATGCAATCTGCATTTCATTAATTTCCTACAATTCCCCAGATTTTGTTCGTCCGTCTTAACAAGGATTAAGCACTTTTTTTCCTACTTCTACTAAGGTCCCTCTCCTTTCTTTTCTTCTCTTTTCTTTTCTTTTCTTTTTCAATAGACTCCTTATTCGTCGTTGAACAGCGTTCGAGTAGTAGAAAAATATTGATTGCAAGGAAAAAGGTAACAAGTACCTATATATATATATAAAGTTGAAACCTTATTTCTTCGGGAAGATCTATTTAATAGAAATTCGATGTTGCAGTAGAAATAATTTGAAATAAAGAGAGACCTTTGAAATATAATTGAGAGTTTAACTATTGATAAATTTGCTTGGATAAAAAGAGGTATTAAAGAGAAGAGGAAAAAGTTATAAGGGTTCGGTTTACGTATTGCAAACCTTCGAAAGATCACCAGCAGCAGCACCACCACCACCACCACCACGCTCGGGGCCTTATCTTCTTTTGTGCTCTCTCGCCATCCACCTGTGAAATTTACTTCCACGAGCCGGGCGACCTCGTCCCATTAGTATTTTTCATGGAGTCTCGGCTAACTATGTCCGTGGTACGCGAGAGCCACTATTATGCTCAATCCCTTATCGCAAGCGACCGTGTCATATATTCTCGAAAACCGCTTCCTTTCCCCCTTTACCCACAGTGAGCTCACTCCACCCCTTTACTACTACTCTCCTTTCTTCGTTGGATAGAATCGTACGTTTCTCATCGTTCTATCTTCGTTCATTCCGAAAGTATAGACGCTAGCGAAACGAAGAGATGCTACTCACCATTACCTATCTTCCAAGGGCTACATACCTACCGCGACTCCTTTTAGATCATCCTTTATCGTACCTTTTACCTCAGGCTGAATTCCTCTTCGATGACCTCTTAAGCAAAGATTATTATTATTATTATTGTTATTATTAAGAATTGTCCAAGCAAATGTTTACTCTTTTGTAAAAGAAAAAAATACTAAAGAAACATCCGCCCCCACCCCAAGAGTAAACGAAAAACTCTTTAAATATTCGCATGTCAGAGTGAAATTCGTGCGACTTTTTATATTAATATTTCCAATGTAAATTTTTTATGACACAATAAATATTACATACACACACACATACGCGCGCGCGCGCACACGGAGTTCGGAAATTAAATTATTTTCATTTTATCAACTATCTCATACGAGGAATGCGAACGATTATATTCTTTTAAACGATATTACTGCGAGATAAGATAAAGTTTCAATTTTAGGAAGTAAGTGGAAAGATAAGGCAGTTGATATAAGTCGGAAGTTTCTTTAGAAAAACGTTCTTTTTTCGGAAGCCTCTGGCCTCTCCTTCTTCTCAGGCCAGACGACGACGACCGACGACGACGACGACGATGGTCTTCTAGCTCCAAGCAAACAAATAAGTCCCAAGGAAGATCGCATCTCATCCAAACACCTGCTACAACGATTTGTCATCCATAACAGAGCTTTAGGATCCGGTCTGTTCCGGGTATGCGTCGGAACAGCTTTCAGTAAGCGCTTTAAAGTACAATTTGTCATCCTAACCGGACACTGGCTCTTCCGTACATTCGAGAGAGAATGAGAGAGTGTGTGTGTGTGTGTGTGAGAGAGAGAGAGAGAGAGAGAGAGCTCTCGTAACGTTGTCGTCTTTCCTCGAGGACAGCTCGAAATCGATTCGAAATATTCCGTTAATCTTACTCACAAATAGACATCCTAACGTGTGGTTGAAACAATCGTTAAGATACGCGAAATGAATCCTAACAAAAATATAAAAAAAAGTTTCGATCAATTTTTGACCCTAATTACTCATATTGCGTTTATTAAATTCATTCACATACGTATAATATGTTAAATTAGTTAGGTTAATTAGTAATAAGTAGCTAATACTTAACGAAGTTTAGATGTTTTGTGTTTTGAATATTAAAAATAAAAATAAAAATGTATGTCTACTCAATGAAAAAAGACGCTGGACAATAAAGATTAAGTTGCTGAAGAAGTCCCAATAAAGGAACGAAACGTCAAACTTAGTTAAATTAAGTTCTACTTCTTTTTATGTCCAAGTTCCCTGTGATACCTTCTCGTTAAGAATTTTATTTTTGGACGAGAGAAATAACTGATTAAGTACTTATTACAATATTAGGTAAATTCTTTTTTGTGTTTCTGAGTTTTTAACAGAGAGTTATTTTATTGACCCACAATTTTCTTTTTTACATATTCGATAATAGAACTTTATATTTATCATACTAAAAAAGAGGAATAAAAGAGTTAGTCGACTAAAGGATGTTTAATGTTACCGTTGTAAACAATTCGCGACGCTTTTTACTGTTTACACGTGTTCTTTCTCTCTCTCTCGCTTTCTCTAATTCTTCCTCCCTCTTGTTTGTTCCAGCCAGCATGTCAACGAACATGTGTACTATTCGCAAACGTTAATACCGTCTAACAAAAAAAAAACAACCACTATGCACATACGCTTAAAGTAAGAAAATTTTATTTACGAAAAATTTACCTCTCTCCCCTTTTCCCACTCTTACTCTCTCTCTCTCTCTCTCTCTCTCTCTCTCTCTCTCTCTCTCTCTCTCAATGTGATTTTTCCATTAGTCGACAATATTGTTGATCAAATTTCACGATTGAACGTATTTAAAAAACAAACAAAATCTCATTGTTCAATGTAAAATATGCGCACATGTTGAAAAATATTAACGAAACTTCGCGATCAGCAATAATAATAAGCGCAAATAAAAAGTACAAACAAAATATGAATAAAGTTATATATTATTTTTTAAGCTTTACCATCGTTCGACTTTATGTTGTTCATCGAGGCCAAAAATCCGTGCATTTATTTTTTTTTGTATTTTTCTTCCTCGTTAGATTCTGAATACTTTTCTTCTTATACGATGTCGTAAAGTAAACGAATTATCTCGAACACGGTTTGTGCACTAACAACGGACATTGTTTCACGATCAAAATGCGCGAAAACTTTATACTTAAACCGCAAAAAGCAATATTTTAATCAATACGCTCGAGTGGAGAAAGAGAAAGAAAAAGAAAATTGGTTAACTCTCTTAATGTTTCCTCGAGGGTAATACCGAAGAAAGAATATAACGTTGGCGTAGCAAAATAACGATGCTAGTAGCTATGCACAAAACAAAATACACGATTTTCTCGCTTTTAAAAGGGAATGGAAAAACCTTACGAGAAAAAGATTACAAGAAGCATTTACGATTTTCCGAAGAAGAAAAACTGAAGCACCAACGAATTGCAAGAGAAAAAAACCTTAATGGTAGATGATATGAGAGAGAAAAGAGAAAGAGAGAGAGAGAGAGAGAGAGAGAGAGTAAGAGAATTACAAA